TCTTCGAGGTACAGTAAAATATTTTTCTTTTATTTATACACTGAAACTTGTTATCTTTTTATTATTTTCCCAGGAGCAATTATTTTTATCATAAAAAAGTAAAACTCCAATTGGATTTAAAATTTTTATTCTTCTCTTTGTTTGGTTATCATTTAAATTTAAATTGTAAAATAATATCTAGATTCTTTTTTTTTTTAGAAATAAATGATCAATAAAAATAATTGAAGGTTTGTTTGTTGCAAAATAAAATGAAACAAAATTTGATAATAATATTAATATTAGTTATTTTAAACTAACATATAAATCATAAGCTCATATATTAAAAGTACTACAAACTTTAAAGTCCAATTGCAATAGTGTATCGAGAAATTCCAGATTCAGAAACATTTTATAACTGCTTAAAACATTCCATAAAATAGATATGCTTGAATATTTTAATACTGTCGCAAACACTCCATGGAATTTGAGTCACCTCTAGAATTTGTTGGAATAATGTTCCAGTAACTTTAATAACTCTAACTTTCTGAAATAGTATTAAACCATCGGAAATATTATATGAAATTCTCAGCTGCTTGAGATTCACAACTAAAAAAAAAAATAAATTCACGATTATAATGCTCTATCTCTAGATACATAATTAAGAAATTACCTTGTATTATTGTAAAATATTGACATTTTTAAAGATATAAGCTCACCCCGATGTGACCCTCATCAAAACCTTTCATTTGAGTACCTACATCATTTTTTCATTCATTTTAAGTTATTCCTGTAGATAAATTACTTTTTATTCACAAATGGCTTGGTTTTGTGAAATGTTTATTATAATTTGAAAAAAAGTTTTTTTTTTTTTAGAAATTTTCAGCCACTTTCCAATAACATTAAATTTGGTCCAAATTGTAGCGGAAAAAAAAAATAAAAATAACTAGCAACCTTGCAGTCACTATGTGACTGCCGTGGCTTGTAAGCTATAAATAAATAAAATTTTGCTTTATTAAATAATGATTTTTGTTAAATTGCACTGTACTTTCTTAAATATTGCAGTTTTTAAAGATATAAGCTCATCCCGGTGTTAAACTCATCAAGAGCTTTCATTTGAGTACCCACATGCATTTTGATAGATTTTTCATATATACATATATATAATACATATAAATATATGAAAAATTGATGTGGGTACTCAAATGAAAGGTCTTGATAACTGTAACATAAGTATGAGCTTATATCTTTAAAAATGTCAATAGTTCACAAGTTACAAGGTAATTTCTTACTTATGTATCTAGAGATAGAACATTTTCAAATGCAGCCTAAATACTTATCATCATAAATCGACTATTGGTGAGAATGATATAAAACCATGAAAAGGCATAACTCCAGGTCAAGACTTTTCCAACGATACCAAATTTAATCATAAAAACCCATTTTATCATATAAATACTCTTGCCACAAAATTTTACTTATTCTCTTAATAAATATGATGATCACAGTATTTTCGGTCATATTATTAGAATTAAAATTCCTTTTACAGCCGTGCTTTATTAAAAGCAATGGTACTAATAGTAGTTCCTTGAAAATTACGAAAATTACAAGTATCACGATCAAAATTTTTTTCATCATTATTATCATTATTTTCATTATAATCATTATTTATCAGACTGTTTTTCAAATGAGTATAACTTTTAAAATATTGATTTAACAAAAATTTAATAAGCAACCAAAAGTGTAGATAATAAAATTTCCTTTCAAATGATCACATTGCCCACTCGATTTCTTCTAGCAAATCACCGTCGCAAGACTTTCTTTAGACATTAATTAAACGTAAATTAACACGATTTCCATTCAATTAATTAAAAAAAAATCACTTAATCTATTATTTAATAGATCTAGAGTTTAATTGCAAATAAATGTTTTTTCAATTAAGTCTTTATATATCTCAAATAAATATTGCATCCGCTATAAACAAACGCTCTAATCATAATATGATATAACAGGATGTAAATGTGTAATAAATTAATCCCGCATTTTATTAATATATTTAGCTGCAGTTGATATAACAAATATATACATAAAGATTCTCGGCAAATAGATCAGTGTAAGTATTTGTTAAACAAATAATAATACCTCTCACGGTAAAAATATTGAATAATTTATAATGTACATTTATTATTTATTATTATTGTGTTAAGAGATTAAATAATAACAAGATGTAAGACGCAAGGTGCATGAAATGTGATGTAATAATTAAATATTGAGTGGATTGAGTGTTAAAAACTCCCGGAGAATTTATATACATACATAAAAGATTACTCTGAAAGGTCAAGTGTACGGTGGGTCACGTTATGCTAAGAATAATGCCTTCGGCTATAGATTAATCCTCAACTCAACATACCTAATACTTGATACCTGGTTCGGTAGAAAGTCTGATCTAGGATACTTGCCAGCAAATGAGATAATGTTCGTGTGAAGACTTTAAATAGATGTTCTTTGATATCGCCTATCAATTAATGTTTAATTTATCCGACAATTTAATATTAGTATGACCATTAAGTTGTCTTATAAATTAATAAAGACGCTGCCTAGAATGTCTTATTTATATTTATATTATATGTCTTATTTATATTTATATGTCTTAATTATATTTATTTGTTTAAATTACATTTCGTAAAACATCCAAATATTTATTGTCAATTTATATTGATATAAAATTGTATTTAATGGTAAGATTAATTCGTAAGATACATTTTTAGAAAAAACAATTTTATTTTTTATCAAAAAATTTATCAAAATAATTTTGAGCATTGTGTTTTTGATTTTGGCAATAATTTGGATAAGTTTGGGAGTTATTGGATTGTTTGTAGTGATATTTTGAAGAAAATTTAATCCTCTACAATTTTTAATTCTTAAATTTTTGTAAATTCAATGTTTTAGTAGTTACAGCTGCTTAAAAATAAGGTAATTATTTACAAGCGGGGTCAACCCTATTTTGGGCCTTAACTAGGTGAAAAATTAATATTTTCAATTTTTTTTTATTCTGCTTGTTTTTACGGCGGGTTTATAATAAAAAATGTCGTGAAAGAAAAAAATTAAGATTTCGATAGCTTTTTTGCCTTCAAAAGTTGAAAAAAATTTTGGCTCTCATATTTTTGGATAAAATATCTATTTCATCTTTTTTTGATATATTTTTCTTTCGAAAAGTACATAAAAAAACAAACAATTAAAAAAAAAGTTGAATATCACAATTTTCTAAATAATTTATAAATTTTTTTGAAAATTTGTTAAAATTGTGATAATCAACTTTTTTTTTTACTTCATTTTTTTATGTGTTTTTCAAAAAATAAATATCAATAAAATCAAATAGAAATTTCGTTCAAAAAAATGAAAATTAAAATAATGATCCCACTTGTAAATATTTATCAAAAATAATCCTAAAGTATGACCAAAAAAATTTTTGATGATTTTACTTTCATTTTTCGCCATAACTTGAATATTTTTTAAAATAAAAAATCAAGTATGGTATTATTGTAAAGGAAATTTAATTTTTTACAACTTTGGTTCCTTATAAAATTTTTATAAATCCAAAATTTTATGTTATAGCTACTTGAGGGTAAAACTAAAGTATAATGAAGTAATAATGTAATGTAATAAGAAGAACACAATAAATTTTTGTATAAATAGTTTCAAGAAAAATTTCTAAGCCAAAAAAAAAATTCTTGATCAAAGAAAGTAATTTTAATTTGATAATATAAAAAAATTTTCTGAGAACATTCAACAAATAAGGAACCAATAGCCGATAAATAAAACGTAAAAGCACTGAGGAATGAATGGATTTGGTAACTTGATTGCTATTAACACCAGGAGTTTCTTAATCTTGTCTCGCGTCTAAAAATGTCATGGGGTGTAATTACCAGAATAATGGTTGCACTGATCAATCCTGAGATCAATCGTACCCGTGAGAACAGTGATCGGCGAATGCCAAGCGGGTGAAAAAGTTTTACGGAATGTTTTTACCAAATCCCCGGTGCAATTAATCGATCTTATAATTTCCGGTATGGAGATGGAGAGTAACAGCGAAATCGGGACTTTCCTGTCTGCCTTGCCGTCTAATTTCGCAACTCGGTGTAACTACGGGACTCTGAACCATTGATTGCATTACTAGCATCGCTGTAGTACACATATCGCCGTTTATGTTTATTCGTTACTTTTTTTATAAAAACAGTATAATTATTTTTTTATTCAAAACGACGTCAAGGATATTAGAAAGTCTATGTATATACGTCTTATCAATATCGATTGCTAAAAATCGGGTGTATTTTATTATTATTATTATTATTATTTTTATTTTTATTATTGCAGCGATGAGGTTGTGCCTTACACTCGCCTTACAAAAATCAAGCGATTTCTTGAATTAAAATTGTCTCTATTTATTTTCTATTGCACTTGTAGAACAATATTTACATATAAATGTAATGGAAAAACACTACTTTCAACACATGAAATTTTTAAAAGACATTTTGCTTTTTAAATAATTAAAAAAAATGTTTAAAAAAATTATTCCGTGGACCTCCGGCTGTCAAATGTATGTATGAAAACTGGCGTAGTCACGATAACTGCCGAAAAACTTAACTGATCAAGTCCATTTATTTTTTATACGCTTCAGTATGACTTAAAACTAAGCCTTTCGAAGATCACGGTCTAATTCAATGTAGTTTATTTATAGTTAGCAATAAACTAAAAATCCACTAATCGTTTGTATATCTATATCTATGTAAATAAGGTTCGTTTACAATACATGCGCAGTACCTTTTTTTTTTCTGGGTAGACAATGGCGCGAAAGATTTAAAAGTATTTGTATTTTATTTTAATCAATTTTATTATGGAAAATGAGATTATAAGGCGTGCACTTTTGGATTTTCCAAACTTTTTTAAAAGCTGACTCGACAGACAAATGAATAATATTATCGGTAAATTTATTACGTATTTATTGTTAGGTAATATTCTGACAGGTTTAGACGAGTGTAAAAGTAATAAAGGGAGTATTTATGAGGATCCTGTAGGTATAATAAATTTGATAAGACGCCAAATGCATAAACAGATCCTTTCAGACATGTCAGACGATTTTAAGAATCGCGCAAGAGTTACATCGTCTTTACAGAGTAGAATAAGCTAAATAAAGTAAAATGAAATGAAATAAAATGAATGAATAAGTTAAGAGAAAAAATAAATATGAAGTTAACGCAAGGGAAACGCAAGTTTAAGGATGGATGAAGAAAAGTTGCTTCAAGATTATAAGACGTTGCTCCGAGACGTGTACATATTTTGAAGAGGTAAAGAGATAAGCCGTCAAGAAAGTTGCCAGGATGATTTGCCTACAAGCGTCGACCTTCGGCCCTCGGAATACAACCGCCGATCTTTTGTTAATTTTATGTTTTTGTTATTGTGTACTAAATTTTTTATTTAAATGACAAAAGTTTGTTTTTTTTTAAAGAAACTCCTCGGGTCATATTTTGCGCTTGTATTATTTAAATTTAAATATTTGTGTTAGAAATTGGAGGGAAAAAGCTGGCATTTACTTTTAAAGTTCCCGTTTTGCTAATTCAGTTTTTATGATTGTACATTATTATTATTATAATGGAATTGATTGAAGCACAAACGCTTTACCTCATCAACCTTCTAACAGCGGCGGTATTTGCATAAACCTGTCAGCGTTGCATTTTTAATTGGCTAATTACTGTCAAGATATACATCGCTAAATTTTATCAACAAACATCTCAATCATTATCAAAAAAAAAAACTTTGTGGATGTAAAAAATATAAAATAAAATAATAGTCTGGTTATTTTCGAAATTGGCACTTTTATTAAGGTGCTTTGATCGTTATCTTAATAAATATCAAAGAGATTTATGGTTTAATATCACAGTGAAAGAGAACATGGATGATAATAAATTTTCTTTTTGTTCCTCAAAAAAAAACGAACGTTATAAATTATAGTTAGCTTGAAATAATATTTAAGAAATAACTTTTATTATATTTTTTTTGATAAATGGCTCAAGTATAAATTATAGAGAATTAAAATTTAAATTTTTTACTTAAAATTATATTAATAATTTAATTATTACTTTATAAAGTTATGACTAATTATAATATATTACATAATTTCAAAAGTATACTGTTATTATTATTATTATTATTATTATTACTATCAGTATTATATAATATATGTATGGGTAAATTTATAGTACAACTTCAGTACTTGGGCGATAAATTATAAAATTATACGAAGCAGAAATATAAATACTCAATTATTAAAGTTTCATAACTGTTTCATGCATGAACATAAATACAATCTATATAAATTGAAAGTTTTTAATTTTAACTATCTCAAATTTGCTTAAACTTTAATTAATTTCAACATAATTTTCCTTTTTACTTATATATATAATTTATAGTTTAATAAATCAATCAACTATTTTCACTTTACTTATTTAGTTTAAAATTTATCTAATAAAAAAAATGAAACTTTCAAATTAGAGCAAATTAACAAATAAAAAAAGGTTATTTAATTAAACTGATACAAATCGTAAGCAATTATTTTCAATTACCTCCAATATCAATTTCACCGAGCTAGCGCAAGAGTTAATTAAATAAAATAATTATATTAAATAAGCTCATTACAATTACTAATTTAATTAAAATAAATAAATAACTTTTTTCTAGTGTACGAGTGCAGTAGTTATAGTTGTCCGTACAAGTGCAATCAAAGTAGCACTACAAGTGTCATTCGAAACAACTCCAAAGTTGTAGAACTCGATAGCAGATGTCGTTAGCTTACAATAGTAAATTATAAATTATAACTTTGTGTTAATGCTATAGATTTATTTATTTATTTATGTATTAGGTAACTTGCTCGACTTGTTCTTTACGGTCGAACAGATAAACACACGTCGTTTCGGGCTGGCTGCAAACGCTCGATTTACCGGTTCACATATTCCACTATCTGATTCTTTTTTCTTTATTGCTTTATTTATTCTATCACATACTGACATTTTTAAAACTCATTTAATCTTTTTGTTTTCGTTTGCCGTCACACTCTGTTACCGACGTAAATAACACCAATTGATCATCAATTGATTATCTGTCCGGGTAATGTCTTGTACAGATCAAGTATAATAATTGAAATAAATAAATATATGCTTAATATTGAGTGCAAAATAATACTTAGAAGCCTACTTTCAATAAAATGAAACTTTAAACTGAAATGATTTTTGTAAGCTGAGTGTAGGACACAATCTCATCCGCTTCGCTTATAAGGCGTGCAAAAGTTTGGAAAATCCAAAAGTAGACGCCTCATAATCTCATTTTCCATAATAAAATTGATTAAAATAAAATACAAATACTTTTAAATCTTTCGCGCCATTGTCCACCCAGAAAAGAAAAGGTACTGCGCATGTATTGTAAACGAACCTTATTTACATAGATATAGATATACAAACGATCAGTGGATTTTTAGTTTATTGCTAATTATAAATAAACTACATTGAATTAGACCGTGATCTTCGAAAGGACTTAGTTTTAAGTCATACTGAAGCGTATAAAAAATAAATGCACTTGATCAGTTAAGTTTTTCGGCAGTTATCGTGACCACGCCAGTTTTCATACATACATTTGACAGCCGGACATCCACGGAATAATTTTTTTAAACATTTTTTTTATTTATTTAAAAAGCAAAATGTCTTTTAAAAATGTCATGTGTTGAAACTAGTGTTTATCCATTACATTTATATGTAAATATTGTTTTACAAGTGCGATAGAAAATAAATAGAGACAATTTTAATTCAAGAAATCGCTTGATTTTTGTAAGGCGAGTGTAGGGCACAACCTCATCCGCTTCGCTTATAAGGCGTGCAAAAGTTTGGAAAATCCAAAAGTAGACGCCTCATAATCTCATTTTCCATAATAAAATTAATTAAAATAAAATACAAAAAATACTTTTAAATCTTTCGCACCATAGTCCACCCAGAAAAGAAAAGGTACTAAGCATGTATTGTAAACGAATCTTATTTACATAGAGATAGATATACAAACGATTAATGGATTTTTAGTTTATTGCTAATTATAAATAAACTACATTGAATTAGACCGTGATCTTCGAAAGGACTTAGTTTTAAATCATACTGAAGCGTATAAAAAATAAATGCACTTGATCAGTTAAGTTTTTCGGCAGTTATCGTGACCACGCCAGTTTCCATACATACATTTGACAGCCGGACGTCCACGGAATAATTTTTTTAAACATTTTTTTTATTTATCTAAAAAGCAAAATGTCTTTTAAAAATGTCATGTGTTGAAACTAG